CGCCTGAGACAGCCTTTGAATTCTGGTCCCCCACGAGGCCACCGCTCGAGACATCCTCCAAGTTTGCAAAACCAGCGTTTCGCTCGAGACATCCTCAACAAGTTATGAAAAGCAAGCGTTTCGCTCGAGACATCTTGTCATAACCCCCAAGAAATCCAAATACCCGCGCGCGGGACGCGGCACGCGCGAGACATCCTTGGAATTCCTGCGCGAGAGCGCTTTTCCGTGTCGCGGTCGGCTCTGCAAAACCAGCGTGTCGCTCGAGACATCCTCAACAAATTCTGAAACCAAGCGTTTCGCTCGAGACATCCCCAACTCTGCAAAACCAGCGTCTCGCTCGAGACATCCTCAACAAATTCTGAAAAACAAGCGTTTCGCTCGAGACATTCTCAAAAAAACACTACACCCGCGCTCCCAGGGCCACGATCCCTCGTAAATTACGCTACATCAGCGCTCCCAGGGCCACGATCCCTCGTAAGGGCTCCTGGGCCCTCCTGGGTCTTCCTTGTACCTCTTGGGCCCTCCTGGGCTCTCTTGGAGCCTCCTGGAGCTTCTCCTGGGCCCTCCTTGGGCCCCCTGGTGCCTCTTGGAGCCTCCTGGGTCCTCCTGGGCCTTCCTGGGCTCTCCTAGGCCCTTTTGGGCTCTCCTGGGCTCTCCTGGAGCCTCCTGGGCCCTCCTGGGCGAAGTCAAGGTCCGATGCCACCCCTCACGCAGATCCGCGGGGTCAGGGGCCAAAAACACAAGGGATTTGCCACATTTCTGAAATTCGGTGCCACCCCTCACGCAGATCCGCGGGGTCAGGGTCCAAAAACACAAGTGATTTGCCACATTTCTGAAATTCGGTGCCACCCCTCACGCAGATCCGCGGGGTCAGGGTCCAAAAACACATGGGATTTGCTACATTTCTGAAATTCCGTCCCACCCCTCACGCAGATCCGCGGGGTCAGGGTCCAAAAACACAGGGGATTTGCCACATTTCTGAAATTCGGCGCCACCCCTCACGCAGATCCGCGGAGTCGGGGTCCAAAAACACAAGTGATTTGCCACATTTCTGAAATTCGGTGCCACCCCTCACGCAGATCCGCGGGGTCAGAGTCCAAAAACACAAGTGATTTGCCACATTTCTGAAATTCCGTGCCACCCCTCACGCAGATCCGCGGGGTCAGGGTCCAAAAACACATGGGATTTCTGCTATTTCCGAACTTATGCAACTTCAAGAATCCAAAACTCCATTCCCAGCGCCGTTCCGGAGGCCGCGGTACCTCGTTATTTATCGAGCGAACGCATTTACCTTGTTTTTTTATCGTTTAAAGTCGATGTCGGAAAAAAGCGGACTTCACCTGTGAAATATCGAGGTTTCCTTAAAGACAGTAAAATTCCAAGAGCACGATCTGCGTGAGGGGTGGCGAAAAATGGCCTTCGTCCTCACAATTTTAATTCGCCGGCCCCTTCGACCTCATAATTTATCGCACAAGAAATTCGCCGGCCCCCCTCAAGTAAAAACCGGGGGATAAACCTACTAAAAGAGAACCCTGGGCCCAGGCCCTTTCCGGGAATAAGCGTTCCCTTTCGCACCCCGAGGCCAGTTTTGAGGGCGGCCTGGGCGTTTCGCCTGAGACTTCCTCACAATGTATGACCCTGAAGCTCAAAAGTTGACAACAGTTTCACGAATGGTGGGCGGGTGGTTTTCAAAATGTGGCTCTCGCCTTAGCGCCGTGCACATTCGTTTTTGAAATTGGCTAGAGTTCCACGGATTCCCATGATCAGCGTACCAAAAACTGCGTTTTGGAAGGATTCAATATCATGAGGGAACAAAAGTTACGTTGATTCGCGGCGTTGGAGTCCCAAAAATGGCTTTCTGGCACGATTCAGGCTTGTCAAGACGCAACCGTCAGGTTGATCCGTGGCTTTGGAATCCCGAGAACGATGTTCTGGCATGCGTATGGTCTTCAGACGGCTGTCTTCCAACGAATAAGTTCTCTCAGTGGACATGAACTCTTGTATGGGGCCAATGATGAGGGAGCTCGAAGGGAGGGTTTGTTCCGACATCGTTGACGATTCTTGGGTTCAGACTGGTCTTCCTCCTCCTCCTCCTCCTGCTCCTCCTCCTCCCTCCCTCCTCCCCATCGAGGTATGATTCACAAACCCTAAAACAAGAAGGACTCGCACGGAGCGTCCTAGAGCGTCCCGAAGCGGCGGCACATGCCGGAGGCCTCTACAGTAGACCCAATACACCCCCCTATGTGCTCTCCGAGAGACCCTTTTGAAGTCCCAGAACATGGCTGCGTTGTTGTTCATGTGCTTCGCTTCCCAGACTCTTCGGCCGCAGATCGACCAGCTTGCGGTCATAAAGGGCCTGAGAAACCCGCTGACACCCCCAAGACAGCCCCCCGACGACCCCAAGAGAGTCCCAAGCTGTCTCAAAAGGGCCTCTCGCCCCAGAGACGCCTCAGACGATCAAGAGCGCCCGAAGACGGTCAAGACGGCACAAGGGGGAGGGCCCCAAAAGGGCCCAAGCGGGCCTCGAGGGACCCCCGAAACTGCCCGACGAGTCCTGGACAGCCCCGAGACGGCCCGACTAACCATGAGAGCTCCTCAACAAGTGGAGACGCGCAGCGGCACACATGACGGCCTTCCGAGCAGTGCTTGAAGGTTCGCCACATTGAGTGCTTCGCTGGCACGGTGGCGGATGTGCCGCAAGCTCCTGGATATGCTTCGCAATGTCGCTTGTGAAGAGATTCAGGCCTTCAAGTAAACTTGGCGTCAACACGTTGCCAACATGATCCTGCAAAGGGAACGTGACATGGAACTCCCGGGCAGCATCTGGACTTTGTCCGTGAGCACCCACGGCAACAAGAGCAATGGCAAGGATTACGACTGCCCTGTTCGTGGAACTTGTCATACCGCACGGGGCGGACGGTCTTCTTGTAGAGAAAACACTGGGCAAATGACCGAAGTGGATCAACCCGAACGTGCTTGAACCACAGTGGCAAGGACGCGGAAGCCAGGGAGGCTGGAGGGCTGGGAATTCACGGCTTGAGGAGGAGATGCACATAATAGCATATGGGTTTGGGGCGGCTGGGAGCGTGGGCACGTGGGATTCTGAGAGTCACCCAAACAGCCCAAGAAGGCATCAACAAACGGTCCATGAGGGCCCCGAGACGGTCCAAGAGGTCGCCAATAGAAGCCCACGATGGCTTTGTCACTGCACAAGCGGCCGCCAAGTTGCCCGAACCCTCCCGGTATGAAATGGAGTCTCTGCTGGCTCCCACTGGAATCCTTACTACGGACCCTACTGCTGCGAGCATCACCGCAAGCCCGAATCCGGGCCAAGTTGCAGATCTTCTTGCAGGTCGTGCTACAGACGATGCAGATCCTGCTGCAGGCCCGACATCAGATCCGGCAGCAGGCCCTACAAAGGATCCAACTACAGGCCCGACAGCAGATTCCACTGCAGACCCAAATACAGGCACTACGCTACGGATCCTCAAATGTCGGCGTGTGCTAGACGATCAAGCACACCAGGGACGTGACTAGCCTGCAGTGTAGGGATCTACTAGGGGAGGCCCCCGAGAGACCCCCCACGAGATCCCAACAAACATCCAATGAGCTTCATGCCCACAACCCGGGCACGGTGGCGGGATGGGCCAAAGGCCAACAGACAAAGGGGCTCCACCTGTGGCCCCAGTGGTCGCCCCGCTTCGGCACACCCCATCACGCGCTTCGTGGCCCCACAGGGAGGCTCCCATGCCCGTCCTCGAATGTGGCTCCCCGCTATTTTCGGCACACCTTTCACACGCTTCGTGGCCCCATAGTGAGGCTCCACCTGAGGCTCCAATAGCCGTCCTCACATGCGGTTCCCCGCCCGCTGCGGCACACTCCTCATAGACTCCATGGCCCAACAGGGAACTCCGCCTGAGACCCCCGTGCCCGTCATCGCATGCGGTTCTTCCCCGCCTATTTCGGCACACCCCTCACACGCTGCGCGGCCCCGTAAGGAGCTCCACCTAAGCCACGAGTGGCCGTCCTCGCATGCGGCCCCCCGCCCATGTCGGCACACCCCTCACACGCTTCGTAGCCCCATAGGGAGCTCCACCGAAGGCCCCAGTGGCAGGGTTCGCAGGCGCCCCCCCCGCCCATCTCGGCACACCCCTGTTGCCCCATATGGAAATCCACCGAAGAGGATCCCCAGAATTGCGGCACCCACAGCCATCATATCTTTTCGGCGCAAAGGGAACCATGCAATGCGCAAGGTCAAGGCGTGGCCATAGTTAGATCAACGGTGCTTGAAGGCTTGCTCGATGCCATAGCCGAGCGCCCATGAACCAAGTATCTGGAACGTGTAAACACCGACCCAGAACATAAACACCCAAAAGGGCTTTTCTATCACTCTGAATCGCGCCGGGTGGCTTCCCAACTCCTTCATCAATCTGGCGAGCAGTCGCTGGTCGACAACAATGAGCCCGCTGGTTGCCCGAGCAAGGTGAGCGACTTGCTCCACCGCTAACGCAAGCGAGTCACTGTCCACACCTTCGCGCAACGAAGCCATGAAGATCTGGGTCGGAAATATCCTCGGGTCCTTTATCATTTCATCGCCCTGTGCCGCGGTCTTGTCGGAACGCATCAGGCCTGAGAAGGCATGCTTCTTGACTGAACTGGCAACGACTGAGCCGTCTGCACCGACGGCCGTTTGGAGGAGGCCTTCACCCACACGGACCTGTTCAAGCGTCCCCTGCTTGTCTGTCTGGTAGCAATTTGTCGAGGCTAGCTGGCTCCGGTTGGGCAGGTGCCCTTGGCAGCACCAGTGCCCGACCTTATGGCCGCTCTTGGAAGTGACAACCCCCGTCTTGTTGCCAGAAAAAGTCGCAGCTGACAGTTGAAAGATCTCTTCATCTCGATCTTGCTCTGCAGGATTGGTGTCGTTCAGAACAGTGAAACAGAATGCGCTGCTGCTTGACACATTGTTAAACTTCAAGAAGTCTTCATCTTCCCATAGCTCATCATCCGCCGCGGCGGTGCCTTTGATCCGCCACCGTGCCCCCCTGGTACGTTCAAGCGTGGCAGAAGCCAGGACGAGAATTCTGTCGGAGTCCGAGTAATTAGGGGAGGACCGCCACCGTGGCCGCGAATATGGCCCAGCATTGCCGCAAGAGGCACCCGACAGCTCCCGAGACGCACCGAATACACCCGCCGATCCGGCGTGTGCTTTCTACAAGGCTAGAGCCTGAGCTTCAGTTCTGCTCAAGGGGTTGCTGGGGTCGCTCTGCCTGGGAAGGGGCAAAAAGTTGTGCTGTTCCCATCGTACTTGACGACCACATCCCGGAACTAATTTCGAGCACCCGGAAAAGTGTCGGAAGAGTGTCGAAACAGCGCCGGACGAGTGTCTCCCAGGGCCCGACGCGAGAAAACCCTCGAGTTTCGGCACTTGTCCTGGTGCTCGGAATTCTTTCTGGTGGTCAAGGCTAAAAGCAGGTTGGATCATCATAAGCAAAGGGGCGGGGGAGGGGACTGCAGCTTTTGCCCAGAGCTGAGCCGCGCTCGCCAGGGCTCGGCTCGCCGCGCCTTCGGTTCGCCGCGCCTTCGGTTCGCCGGAACCCGCTTCGCCGGGGCTCGGTTCGCCCGGCTCGACCCGGCTCGGCTCGCCAGGACTCGGTTCGCTGGGGCTCGTTGCGCCCGACTCGGTTCGCTGGGGCTCGCTGCGCCGCGGCTCGTCGCGCTGCGGCTCGTTTCGCCGGGGCTCGCTTCGCCAGGGCTTGCTTCGCCGGGGCTCGCTTCGCCGGGCGGACGGGCCCTGACGGGCGGGTCGTGTCGGGCGGGCGGACCCGGGCGGGTCGGGGCGGGCGGGCGGGACATCGAATGCGTGAGGCGTCATCGAGGTAGCACGCGCTCCACGGGCGCCTCGGTCGGGCGGGCGGACCCTGGCGGGTCGCGTCGCGTTGGGCGGGTAGAGTCTCACGGGCGGGTCCGCCCGCGGGTGGGCGGCTATCGCCTCGTCGAGAGCCGGAGCCGTGCGAACACAGCCGGACGAATCGAGCAGGGCAGGGCGATTCGAGTCCCATGCAAACCGAGCCGGGCGAATCAAGCCTGGGCGAATCGAGACTCGGGCGAAACGAGCCAGGCGAATCTAGACTGGGCGAATCGACTCGGGCGAATCGAGCCTGGGCGAACCGAGCCGGGCGAATCGAGCCAGGGGATTCGAGCCCCGGGCGAATCGAGCCCGGCCACTCGAGCTGGCGAATCGAACCCGGGCGAATCGAGCCAGGCGAGTCGAGCCGAGCGAGATTCGGATGAATCGAGCCTACGCTGGGCCGGGGCCGGGGGCTGCATTTGGCCGCCTGGGCCAGGGCCGTAGCCGCGGCCGCGGCCACAGCTGGGGCCAGGGACGGGGCCGCGGCCAGGGCCGGGGCTGCGGCTGGAGCCGGGGCTGAGGCTGGGGCCGATACTGGGGCCGGGGCCGGGGCCGATGCTGGGGCCAGGGCCTGGGGCGGGGGCCAGGACCGGGGCCAGGGCTCCTAAGCCCAACAAGCCATCAAGCTCGACAGATGGACACGGCGCAAACAGTCCATTCAACACATACTGCCTAAGGCGCCTACCAAAACCCTTTCCTCCTCTGCCTCCTCCTCCTCCTCCTCCTCCTCCTCCTCCTCCTCCTCCTCCTCCTCGTCCTCCTCCTCCTCCTCCTCCTGCTTCTCCTCCTCCGTCCTCCTCCTCTCCTCCTCCTCCTCCTCCTCCTCCTCCTCCTCCTCCTCCTCCTCCCCCTCCTCATCCTCCTCCTCCTCCTCCTCCTCCTCCTGCTCCTCCTCCTCCTCCTCCTTCTCTTTTCCCCCTATCCTTTTCCCCATCATCCTCCATTCCTTCTCCTTACAAATAAGCGTTCCCTTTCGCACCCCGAGGCCAGTTTTGAGGGCGGCCTGGGCGTTTCGCCTGAGACTTCCTCACAATGTATGATCCTGAAGCTCAAAAGTTGACAACAGTTTCACGAATGGTGGGCAGGTGGTTTTCAAAATGTGGCTCTCGCCTTAGCGCCGTGCACATTCGTTTTTGAAATTGGCTAGAGTTCCACGGATTCCCATGATCAGCGTACCAGAAATTGCGTTTGGGAAAGATTCAATATCATGAGGGAACACAAGTTACGTTGATTCGCGGCGTTGGAGTCCCAAAAATGGCTTTCTGGCACGATTCAGGCTTGTCAAGACGCAACCGTCAGGTTGATCCGTGGCTTTGGAATCCCGAGAACGATGTTCTGGCATGCGTATGGTCTTCAGACGGCTGTCTTCCAACGAATAAGTTCTCTCAGTGGACATGAACTCTTGTATGGGGCCAATGAAGAGGGAGCTCGAAGGGAGGGTTTGTTCCGACACCGTTGACGATTCTTGGGTTCAGACTGGTCTTCCTCCTCCTCCTCCTCCTCCTCCGGCTCCTCCTCCTCCCTCCCTCCTCCCCATCGAGGTATGATTCACAAACCCTAAAACAAGAAGGACTCGCACGGAGCGTCCTAGAGCGTCCCGAAGCGGCGGCACATGCCGGAGGCCTCTACAGTAGACCCAATACACCCCCCTATGTGCTCTCCAAGAGACCCTTTTGAAGTCCCAGAACATGGCTGCGTTGTTGTTCATGTGCTTCGCTTCCCAGACTCTTCGGCCGCAGATCGACCAGCTTGCGGTCATAAAGGGCCTGAGAAACCCGCTGACACCCCCAAGAGAGCCGCCCGACGACCCCAAGAGAGTCCCAAGCTGTCTCAAAAGGGCCTCTCCTGAACAGAGAGGAGCCGACTGCGACACATCACCGGCAGCGCTGCGCGGCGACGAGCCGGGGCCGGAGCTGTGCGCCACGGGGCTCGAGGCGCGCCCGGTGTCTGCCCAGAGGCAGGCGCGGCGCAGCCCCGAGGCCTCACGAGCCCGAGCACGACCTTCCGGGCGCAAGCTCCGCCCTGGCCTAGGAGGTCAAGAGGAGGAGGAGGAGGAGGAGGAGGAGGAGGAGGACTTCTCAGACGATCAAGAGCGCCCGCAGACGGTCAAGACGACACAAGGGGGAGGGCCCCAAAAGGGCCCAAGCGGGCCTCGAGGGACCCCCGAAACTGCCCGACGAGAGTCCTGGACAGCCCCGAGACAGCCCGACTAACCATGAGAGCTCCTCAACAAGTGGAGACGCGCAGCGGCACACATGACGGCCTTCCGAGCAGTGCTTGAAGGTTCGCCACATTGAGTGCTTCGCTGGCACGGTGGCGGATGTGCCGCAAGCTCCTGGATATGCTTCGCAATGTCGCTTGTGAAGAGATTCAGGCCTTCAAGTAAACTTGGCGTCAACACGTTGCCAACATGATCCTGCAAAGGGAACGTGACATGGAACTCCCGGGCAGCATCTGGACTTTGTCCGTGAGCACCCACGGCAACAAGAGCAATGGCAAGGATTACGACTGCCCTGTTCGTGGAACTTGTCATACCGCACGGGGCGGACGGTCTTCTTGTAGAGAAAACACTGGGCAAATGACCGAAGTGGATCAACCCGAACGTGCTTGAACCACAGTGGCAAGGACGTGGAAGCCAGGGAGGCTGGAGGGCTGGGAATTCACGGTTTGAGGAGGAGATGCACATAATAGCATATGGGTTTGGGGCGGCTGGGAGCGTGGGCACGTGGGATTCTGAGAGTCACCCAAACAACCCAAGAAGGCATCAACAAACGGTCCATGAGGGCCCCGAGACGGTCCAAGAGGTCGCCAATAGAAGCCCACGATGGCTTTCTCACTGCACAAGCGGCCGCCAAGTTGCCCGAACCCTCCCGGTATGAAATGGAGTCTCTGCTGGCTCCCACTGGAGGCCTTACTACGGACCCTACTGCTGCGAGCATCACCGCAAGCCCGAATCCGGGCCAAGTTGCAGATCTTCTTGCAGGTCGTGCTACAGACGATGCAGATCCTGCTGCAGGCCCGACATCAGATCCGGCAGCAGGCCCTACAAAGGATCCAACTACAGGCCCGACAGCAGATTCCACTGCAGACCCAAATACAGGCACTACGCTACGGATCCTCAAATGTCGGCGTGTGCTAGACGATCAAGCACACCAGGGACGTGACTAGCCTGCAGTGTAGGGATCTACTAGGGGAGGCCCCCGAGAGACCCCCCACGAGATCCCAACAAACATCCAATGAGCTTCATGCCCACAACCCGGGCACGGTGGCGGGATGGGCCAAAGGCCAACAGACAAAGGAGCTCCACCTGTGGCCCCAGTGGTCGCCCCGCTTCGGCACACCCCATCACGCGCTTCGTGGCCCCACAGGGAGGCTCCCATGCCCGCCCTCGAATGTGGCTCCCCGCTATTTTCGGCACACCTTTCACACGCTTCGTGGCCCCATAGTGAGGCTCCACCTGAAGCTCCAATAGCCGTCCTCACATGCGATTCCCCGCCCGCTGCGGCACACTCCTCATAGACTCCATGGCCCAACAGGGAACTCCGCCTGAGACCCCCGTGCCCGTCATCGCATGCGGTTCTTCCCCGCCTATTTCGGCACACCCCTCACACGCTGCGCGGCCCCATAAGGAGCTCCATCTAAGCCACGAGTGGCCGTCCTCGCATGCGGCCCCCCGCCCATGTCGGCACACCCCTCACACGCTTCGTAGCCCCATAGGGAGCTCCACCGAAGGCCCCAGTGGCAGGGTTCGCAGGCGCCCCCCCCGCCCATCTCGGCACACCCCTGTTGCCCCATATGGAAATCCACCGAAGAGGATCCCCAGAATTGCGGCACCCACAGCCATCATAATTTTTCGGCGCAAAGGGAATCATGCAATGCGCAAGGTCAAGGCGTGGCCATAGTTAGATCAACGGTGCTTGAAGGCTTGATCGATGCCATAGCCGAGCGCCCATGAACCAAGTATCTGGAACGTGTAAACACCGACCCAGAACATAAACACCCCAAAGGGCTTTTCTATCACTCTGAATCGCGCCGGGTGGCTTCCCAACTCCTTCATCAATCTGGCGAGCAGTCGCTGGTCGACAACAATGAGCCCGCTGGTTGCCCGAGCAAGGTGAGCGACTTGCTCCACCGCTAACGCAAGCGAGTCACTGTCCACACCTTCGCGCAACGAAGCCATGAAGATCTGGGTCGGAAATATCCTCGGGTCCTTTATCATTTCATCGCCCTGTGCCGCGGTCTTGTCGGAACGCATCAGGCCTGAGAAGGCATGCTTCTTGACTGAACTGGCAACGACTGAGCCGTCTGCACCGACGGCCGTTTGGAGGAGGCCTTCACCCACACGGACCTGTTCCAGCGTCCCTTGCTTGTCTGTCTGGTAGCAATTTGTCGAGGCTAGCTGGCTCCGATTGGGCAAGTGCCCTTGGCAGCACCAGTGCCCGACCTTATGGCCGCCTTTGGAAGTGACAACCCCCGTCTTGTTGCCAGAAAAAGTCGCAGCTGACAGTTGAAAGATCTCTTCATCTCGATCTTGCTCTGCAGGATTGGTGTCGTTCAGAACAGTGAAACAGAATGCGCTGCTGCTTGACACATTGTTAAACTTCAAGAAATCTTCATCTTCCCATAGCTCATCATCCGCCGCGGCGGTGCCTTTGATCCGCCACCGTGCCCCCCTGGTACGTTCAAGCGTGGCAGAAGCCAGGACGAGAATTCTGTCGGAGTCCGAGTAGGGGAGGACCGCCACCGTGGCCGCGAATATGGCCCAACATTGCCGCAAGAGGCACCCGACAGCTCCCGAGACGCACCGAATACACCCGCCGATCCGGCGTGTGTTTTCTACAAGGCTAGAGCCTGAGCTTCAGTTCTGCTTAAGGGGTTGCCGGGGTCGCTCTGCCGGGGAAGGGGCAAAGAGTTGTGCTGCTCCCATCGTACTTGCCGACCACATCCCGGAACTAATTTCGAGCACCTGGAAAAGTGTCGGAAGAGTGTCGAAACAGTGCCAGACGAGTGTCTCCCAGGGCCCGACACGAGAAAACCCTCGAGTTTCGGCACTTGTCCTGGTGTTCGGAATTCTTTCTGGTGATCAAGGCTAAAAGTAGGTTGGATCATCATAAGCAAAGGGGCGGGGGAGGGGACTGCAACTTGTCCGGAGCTGAGCCGCGCTCGCCAGGGCCCGGTTCGCCGCGCCTTCAATTCGCCCGGGCTCGGTTCGCCGGAGCCCGCTTCGCCGGGGCTCGGTTCGAACGGCTCGACCCAGCTCGGTTCGCCAGGACTCGGTTCGCTGGGCTGGGGCTCGATTCGCCCGACTCGGTGCGCTGGGGCTCGCTTCGCCGCGGCTCGTCGCGCTGCGGCTCGTTTCGCCGGGGCTCGTTTCGCCAGGGCTTGCTTCACCGGGGTTCGCTTCGCCGGGCGGGCGGGCCCTGACAAGCGGGTCGCGCCGGGCGGGCGGACCCGGGCGGGTCGGGGCGGGCGGGCGGGACATCAAATGCGTGAGGCGTCATCGAGGTAGCACGCGCTCCACGGGCGCCTCGGTCGGGCGGGCGGACCCTGGCGGGTCGCGTCGCGTTGGGCGGGTAGACTCTCACGGGCGGGTTATGTAGCTCATCGCTTGCTCGACTTCAGTCAAACAATGACATCATCTCTAAAAAATTACACTGTACCAATAATTTGTTTCGACTTAGCGCTGGTAGCAGACCGAGCTCCGAGATCTAGATACTTCAGACTAGCACGCCTGATGAGTTTTTTGTGCCTGCTCTGCCGAGCAACTCTGTATGGCGATGTGTCAGCCATGGCTATCGTAGTGGTGGCCCTGGTGGTCCTGGCCGTGGTCCTGGCCGTGGTGGTCGTTCTGCACGGTTGCTCCAAATTTGCGAGAGCTGTGCGACAGCTAGAACCCTGAAAATTGCAGTCGCACGCGCCATCATCGACTGCACGGCGCAAAAATCTATATTTAAAAACGAATTTTTAAATTTCTCACAATCTACCAAAAACCAACCCCAGGTTGACACATTGTCCGTTCTCGCGGGGTTGGGGAACTAGCTCCACCCCGGCCGGAATTCCTCTAGCTCATCGATGCCGAAGCTCCACGAGGTACTAGCTCCATCCCGCGCCGGAACTCCTTCAACTCATCGACTGGGAGCCCGCGGTTAACCGTCAACCAGATTACCGTCCGAACCTCGCAGAGCTCCCGAAACGCAAATCATCGCCCAGATAACGAAGACAGAGCATTCTCGAATGTAAATTTAACAACTCGAAAAATGGACGATCGGAGTTTTATAGAACGTCGGTTCCTCCGAATGCTTTGATCGAAATATTGCAGCTACACCCGTAAGAATTGCACCATCGAGCTCATCGATTGCAGAGAATAAAGATCTGGATATTCACAACGAATTTTCAAATCTCCCACAATCGTCGAAAAAAAATCGACCCCAGATTGCCACATTGTGCGTCCGGGGCGGGTGGGCGAACTAGCTCCACCCCGCGCCGGAATTCCTCTAGCTCATCGATGCCGAAGAGCTCTACGAGTCGATGCCGAAGAGCTCTACGAGGTATGCCGAAAAAACTCTACGACGTACTAGCTCCATCCCGCGCCCGGAATCCTCTTAGCTCATCTCGTCACATACACACACGCCGCCTCTGTGTCAGCGGGCCACGGGGGGGGGCCGGCCGTGCGCGCGCGCGGCTCTATTGACAACACATACGCACACACACACACACACACACACACACACACCGCCCCTGTGTCAGCGGGCCACGGGGGGGGCCTGGCCGTGCGTGCGCGGCTCTATTGACAAGACATACGCACACACACACACACACACACACACACACACACACAAACACACACACAAACACACACACCGCGCCCCTGTGTCAACGGGGCCACAGGGGGGGGCCCTGCCGTACGCGCGCGGTCTATTGACAACACATACACACACACACACACACACCGCCCCTGTGTCAGCGGGCCACAGGGGGGGCCCCGCCGTGCGCGCGCGCGGTCTATTGACAAACACATACGCACACACACACACACACCGCCCCTGTGTCAACGGGCCACGGGGGGGGCCCTACCGTGCGCGCGCGCGGCTGTATTGACAACACATACACACACCGCCCCTGTCAGCGGGCCACGGGGGGGGCCCGGCCGTGCGCGCGCGGGGCTCTATTGACAACACATACTTACACAGACACACACACACACACACACCGCCCCTGTGTCAGCGGGCCACGGGGTGCCGGCGTGCGCGCGCGGTTCTATTGACAACACATAACGCACAACACACACACACACAAACCGCGCCCTGTGTCACGGGCCAGAGGGGGGGCGGCCGCGCGGCGCGCGCTCTGTGTCCAGCGGACCACACCGCCCTTGTGTCAGCGGGCCACTGGGGGGGGGCCGGCCATGCGCGCGCGGGGCTCTTTTAGTGCCGGGCCACCTGCGCGGCCGTGCGCGCGCGCTCACGACAACACCACCCACACACACACAACCGCGCCCCTGTGTCACGCGGGCCACGGGGGGGGCCGGCCGGCGCGCGCGCGGCTCTATTGACCAACAACATACACACACACACACACAACACACACACACACACACACACCACACACACCACACGCAACCCTGTGTCAGCGGGCCACAGGGGGGGGACTCGGCCGTGCACGCGCGCGGCTCTACTGACAGCACACACACACACACAGCGCCCCTGTGTCAGCGGGCCACGGGGGGGGGACCGGCCGCGCGCGCGCGCGGCTCTATTGGCAACGCATACGCACACCACACACACACACACACACCCCACACCGACACCGCGCCTCTGTGTCAGCGGGCCACGGTGGGGGCCCGGCCTTGCGCGCGCGCGGCTCTAGTGACAACTCATGCACACACACACACTCTCTCACACATTCACACACACACACACACACACCGCCCCTGTGTTAACGAGCCCCGGGGGGGTGGGCCGGCCGTGCGCGCGCGGCTCTATTGACAACACACACACACACACAGACACAAACACACACACACCGCCCGTGTTAACGGGCCCCGGGGGGGGCCCGGCCGTGCGCGCGCGGCTCTATTGACAACACATACACACACACACACACGGCACCCCTGTGTCAGCGGGCCACGGGGGGGCCACGCCGTGCGCGCGCGGCTCTCTATTGACAACACACATAAACACACACACACACACACACCGCCCCTGTGTCAGCGGGCCACGGGGGGGGCCCGGCCGTGCGCGCGCGGGGCCCTATTGACAACACATACACACACACAAACACACACACACACACACACACACACACACACGTCCCCGGGCCGTGCGTGGCAATAACTCCCTTTCTGGGGGTTAGTAATTCGCCGGACCAACGGGCGGCCAGAGGCGTGCTAAGATCTCCGGTAACTGCTAAATAATATGTCTAGTTCGCGCGCGCGGGGCGGCCCCTGGGGGTCCCCAGACGAAAAGTACCCCGGGTGATCCCCGGCAGGGTCGGATCAGAGATGGTTTTCATCCTGGGCACGGCCTCTCAGGCCCCCCAGAGCGCGCCAAGAGGGCCCCAAGAGGCCCCCAAGACTGCCCAAGAGGCCCCCGAGACGCCCAAAGGACGCTCCAAGACACCGAAGATGATCCCAAGACGGCCCAAGAAGCCGCCAAGACGCTCCAAGTGGCCTCCAAGAGGCCTCACAAGAGCGCCCCGAGAGGCCAAAGTCATGAATTGCACGATGGTTTTGGAAGTATTTTGGCCTTGTCGCATTTTCGGCTTTCCGATGCTCCAAGACGGCCCAAGAGGCCCCCAAGAGCGCACGAAGACGGCTCAAGAGGCGCCCAATAAGGCCCTCAGAGAGCCCAAAAGAGCCCCGAGACGGCCCAAGAGACGCCCAAAACGGCCCAAGAGAGCCCCAAGACGGCCCCAAGAGGGGCCCAAGATGGGAACCACGAACCGAAACCTCAAGCTTTCCGCCCCAAGAGGGCCCCAGGAGGCCCCGAAAGGCCCCCAAGATGGCCCAAGATGCCGCCAAGAACCCCCAAGAGACCCCACGAGGCTCCAAGGAGCCTCCAAGGCTTCAAAAATGTCTCCCAGGCGCCCCCGAACGGCCTCTCAACAGACCCCAGGGCCTCCCAAAGAAGCATCTGGACGACGGCCATGTTTGGCCCCAAGAGCGCCGCAAGATGCCATCGAGAGGTTTCCTCCTCCGCCCTTTTATCTTCCTCCCCCTCCTCATATTTATCTTCCTCCTCCTCTCCTCCTCCTCCC